AGAATAACCACTACTACTTTTGTCTTTATTTTATCATGCACATGCTACACTGTTGTAATCGTGGTACCCATTACATGTCCCTTGCCTTTCTCACTTAGCATAGTTTTGTAAGCACTTCTTCCTTGTTTTAAATGAATTTTCTCTAAATGAGCTTTTCCTTCTTCCCTCATTTGGAAGAGATTTACTTTCCCTTTTGCTAAGAAAATCTACTCTTTTCAGAACTAAAACTGTTGTCAGGTACATGTACCTCGATGCTTGATTAACCTTTAGTTTGGACAAAATGAATTACCCAGCAAGGATGATGCTGAGGGTGATGGTCCCAGAGGAGATTTATCTTGCTCTTGTTTACCCAACCAGGAGGCATTCCAGCCTCCGGACAGGAGAAGCCAGCGGGCTGTAAATTTCTCTGGCTCCTGTAAACAAAGCCTGTCAGGAGGCAACGGGGACTTGACACCCCCTTCAGAAGGGCGGCTGGGGAGCAGAGAGCAAAGGCCTCTCTCTTTATGGGACTATGTGCTGGGGAAGAGGAGACTGGGGATTTCTAGATGCAGAGATAGGGCTAACATCTTTCTAGTAAACAAAAACCACAGCGGTGGAAACTGTGAGTTGCCTTTAAACAGCAAGGGCTCGGGGATTCCTTCAGTGAGGAGGGAAGTGGTATCTCAGGTTAGGAAGGGCTGGTGTTGCATTTAGTGAACCTCTTCTTGCCTTAATTCAGAGGTTCCACAGTGGGGGCTGAGAGATGGATTTCCTGGGCACAGTGTTCCTTTGGGAAGGAGTGTGGGGCCCTCGAGTAAATACACTTGTGTTTTGTAAGTGAGTGAGTGGCATCCTGGATGTATACTTAGAGTATCAGCGATGACTGAGTTTGGCTCTGAACGTTTTTAAAGCACTACTGTCACGACAAGAGGTGAAGAGGAGTTCTTTTTTAAAAGGCGAGGAGGGGGAAGCTGTCCCAACCATCACCTCAGGAATTAAGAGCCGTAATATATAGTGCTGCATTGCAAATATCCCAAGGGTCATTGACGGTTGATGTTTGATTTTTCCCTTTTTATTTAAAAATGTGCTCATTAATTAAAAAGTAAGATATTATTGACAGCATTTTTTTATTTTTCAAAAATCTTATAATGGTCTTACTTCCCCAAGTCGTCTCTCTCGTACTCTCACTATTGATGGGATTATAAATTGATGCTCAGTTTCTGTGATAAAGCTTCAATACTACATCAACCCTTTGCTGCAGCAATTTAATTTTTAGAACTTTATGTTGTGGTCTGTTAGGAATGTGTACAAGGTTTACGTGTTAATATTATGCACATTAACATATTAAGTGTTCCATATTTTTAAAATCATAAATGATCACACTTTTAAATAAAACAGAATTGGCTAAATAAATTATGGCACATCTATATAGTAAAATTCGTTATGGTCGCAAATCTTGATGTACAGATGTTTTAATGATATGACAATGTTCAGGATATATTACTAAGTTAAAAAACAAACAAACAAAAGCATGCATAATACATATTTAATACACACAGATGCAGATGCTAGAATGAAATATATCATGTTAAAACTAGAGCCCGATGCACAAAATTCGTGCAAGAGTAGGCCTTCCTTCCCCCAGCTGCTGGCACCAACTTCCCTCTTGCACCCAGGACCCGGGCTTCCCTCACAGCCCCAGCTTTGTCCGGAAGGTCGTCTGGAAGGACGCCTGGTCTAATTAGCATATTATGCTTTTATTATTGTAGTTTCAATGGCTATTTTGAGTGGTGGGTAATAAAATTATTCCCTTCCCTCCCTCCTTCCTTCTCTCCCTGCCTTTCTTTTTCTCTTTCTTCTTTTTTTTTTACCCTCTTCCTTCTTATCCCTGTTTTCTGTTTTCCAAGCTTTGGGGCTTTCATTTTATATTTTTCTTTTCTTTTTAACATTCTCTTATAAGAGTCTGCTATTTGGATTTTCCTTAGGGAATTTATGGGGAAAAAGAAAGTGAAACAATTGTATTCCTCTCTTTTCTATTTGATGCCCTTTCCCTTAATAATACGAAGGTCTCCCCCTCTCTGACTGAAGAAGGGAGAAAATAGGAAAAGGAGGACCAACATTCCACTGTGCCTTTCAGAAGAAGACCTAGACAACAATTCCGCCCTGTCCATTCCTCTTCAGGAAATACATTTTTTAAATGACATCTATTTTTTACCCGGTCTGATAGTTGACGAACTGGTAGAAATACAAGTCACCTATTTGCTGTATAATTATTTCATGGTATTTAAACATCATGTATTTCTTCTCCACAACAGTTAAGAAACTAGTTTCACCTTTAATATGTAAAATTTAATGATTTATAGCTTTTCTGATACCTCATAACATTTTTCTAATAAGTTAATAAATCTAGGTTTTTTTTCATTTTCTAATTAATGTCTGAATAACATTTTTCAAGAAAACCAAAACAAGTCTTATTTGAAGGCCAGGATAAGAAAAGTGCTAATAGAAAAGATAATGTTCATTAATGATTAAAAGCAGTTGACTTCATCAATTCTCAAACTTGACATAGTCTCCTGATATTGAAGTCTTAGGGAAGGTGCATAGCTCATTGCAGGTTAAAAAATATTGAGAACTGAAACTGGTAGTGGCAATAGTGTTTATATTGTTCTAACAACTGAATATAGCCTGACATGAACGGATGTTCAGGAATATTAAGCTTGTGGTAGGTAAGTGAAATTTATGCCAGTGTTTATTTTCAAGCAATCCTTTTAAAAACGTGAATCCTACAATAGCTAAGATCTGGAAACAGCCCAAGTGCCCATCAGTAGCTGAGTAGATAAAAAAGCTGTGGTACATTTACACCATGGGATACGATGCAGGTATAAGAAAGAAGACCTCCTACCCTTTGAGATAGCATGGAGGGCCCCCGAGTATATTAAGCTGAGTGAAATAAGCCAGGCAGAGAAAGATGTGTCACATGATCTCATTCATATGTGGAATCTAATGAACAAAATAAACTGATGAACAAAATAGATCCAGAGGCATAGAAGCATGGAACAGACTGAGGAATTGCTGAGGGAAGGCAGGAGTGGAGAGAGATTAACCAGGGAAGTTATATGCACCAGACAGTAGGGTGGGGAAGGCCTGGGAGGGTTGGGTGGGGGGTGGATGGTGGCCAATGGGGGGCGGGGGACACCTGTAATACTTTCAACAATAAAGATAACTTTTTTAAAAAAAGTGAATCCTACCAGCACAATCATGATAGGTGCTTCATGCTTTTCTTTTCAGAGAAAATTGATGGTAGAACCAGTGTTTTCGCTCTGCCTTTTAACTCATGTCCGTGCTCCAGGTGTCCCATGGATCCGAGATTGAACTCCAGGGGATGCTGGGCCCATGATTCAGGCAAGTCTGAGTCTGTCTGGGGGCTGGAGATATGGCATGCCATGCTTCTCTCTTCCCAAAGGCCAGATGAACTCTGTAGGAAGGAAGTCGTGGCAGTAATCAGGGCTGAGAGCTATGGGCCGCCTTCAGGAGTCCCAGCAGGAACTTCTAGTTGGTTCAGTGTCAAGGAGAGCCATTGCCAGAGAACTGAAACCTGAGGGATAAGGAACAAAATGGTAGACTTTGCAAGAACAAATTCTTGGAATACCTATGACAAATGTGTGTGGGGGAGGGGTTTCCAAACCATGGGAAGACCTTGAGGGATTTGATTGCTGCTGACGCTGTGGAGATACACTTCTTTGGATCCATGATGGTTACTCTGGTCTCACTCTCAGCCTCTGGTCACCTGGAAAACATTATTTTTATATCCCTTTTGAAAGAATAGTTTTTAGGTGGGGTACATAAAGGCACATAGGTGGGCTTCTTGCTCCTGCCTTTAAAACAATAAACACTAGAAGTATCATTTGGAGAAAACAGCAGCTACCAGGAAATTAATTAGCCAAGTTGGGGTGGGGTGGGGTGGGGTGGGGTGGGGGGCCCTTGAATAGCATTTAATCTTCCAAATAAGAAATCTTCATTCTTGGGTCAGACTGATACATGAGGTGGCATTTAGACTGCTAAATTGGATTTATCCCTTTGGCATGCAACTGAGCATCATATGCACTCGATAGACATATTCTCTGGTGTTACACTGCTTTCTTAGTATTGCATAGCTAGTCATCTCTCTAGCATTCTATCTGATTTGGAAAATAGTTTAGAACAATCCAGTAACAACTTCAAGAAAAATAATTGTACACCCGTCACAGCTCCTTCCTATTACATGAATGTGTAAATTGAATGCTCTCTCAAGATGAAAAACACAAGGGCTGGCTTCCCCAAAATGTTTTCATTGGCTTTAGGGAACTAAAACACACCAGTCTGGGTGACTAATGCTTCCTGTAAAATAAAGACTGATCAACACATAATTAAATTCTGGCTCAAATATAATTGTTGTCTTGGAAACAGTTTTGGGAATAAATGTGGTTATGCTAATGAAACTCCTCATGATTCCCACCAGGGATCCAGTCCATGAATTAGGCCAGGCCATTTTACAACCCGGTGCTATCCATTTTGGAACATTTAAAGGGTTAAGTATAGTTCCTAAAAGAACACCGAAGAGGAGAAGAAAAAAAGTGATAAATCTTGTAAATTACTTATCAGCTCTCATAAGGATTCCAGCGCGTTTTCGTCTTGTTTTGTGGGTTTCCAAGATTCTTTTTTACCCAGTTAGGCAGAAAGTTGTATATTGCGCATTTGGAACGGGTAATTCCTAGAGTTATTTCTCTGAACTCCTTGAGGGCTTTAAAACTGGATGGACCCCAGAGAAGCAAGAGAAACCAAACCCTGAGTGTTTTCGGCCCAGCGCTGAGTACCCAGTCCTTTAGTAGGAAGTTCTACTCAGTGCGTAGCCCCAAGGGCAGCTGCCTGCTCGGGGGTGTTTGGCTGGAGCCCAGTGTGAACTCCGGGCGCCGGAGCGCATCGCGGCTCAGATCACACCCACTCGGGGCGCGCGTGTGAGCGCGCGTGTGCCTGCGCGTGTGCGTGTGGGGAGGTGTGCGCCAAGGGGTGGGGTCAGGGGCCGCGAGGAGGGCGCTAGGTGACTCGGGAGCCGGGGAGGTCGTGCGCTCCGCCTCGGTCCCCAGGACCCCGGCGGCTCGCCCGCGTGCAGGCTGCACCTCGCCGCGCGCGCCCCGGTGCCACAGGCCTCCAGGCCCCGGACCCCGCCCTCCGGCCGCCCGTCCCGCGTGGCCCGCCGCGGGGACCGGCGATGGCGCGGGGCTGACGCCGCCTCCTCCGGACCCCTCTGCCCCGCCCGGGGTGCGCGGCGGCCCCGGCGCCTCCCAGCCCTGCATGTGGGGCGGGCGCTCGCGCCGGGAGAGAGCGGCCCTCGGCGCCCCCGAGGCGGTGCCCGGCCGCGCGGGAGGACGAGGAGGAGGAGCGGCCCGGGCCCGGTCCCCCGCGCGCCGCCGCCCGGGAGCACGGGCTCCCCGGAGGGAGCTGCTGGCGTCCCCGGCCCGGAGGAGGGACCCGGAAGCAGAAGCGGAGCCGCGAGTGGAGCCCCGCCGCTGCCCCTGCTGCCCGCCGGCGCCGGGTGGGGGTCCCGGCGGCTGGATGGGCAGCGGCGGCGCGGGCCGCGGGCGGCGATGGGCGAGGAGCAGAGCACGGTGAGCGGCGGCGGGGCCCCGGAGGCGGGCGACCCCGCTGGCGGCGCCACGGGCTCCCCCGAGCCCCCGAGGCCGCGGGGGGACAGCGGCGGGGCGCCCGGGCCGCGCGCCGCCTCCGCGGATCCGAGCGGCGGCGGCTGCGGAAGCGACTCGGGCGGCGCGGACACCAGCGCCCCGGAGCCCGCGGGGAGCTGGGGGGCCCCGGGCTGGACGGAGAGCCGAGCCCCCGGGCCGCCCGCAGGACTGGCGCTCACCGGGCCCCTCAATCCCCAGACTTTGCCACAGCAGCTGGAAGAGCAGGAGGAGGAAGCGGGGGACCGAAAGGAGGGAGGGCGTGAGCCGCCGGAGGCGCCCCCCGGAGAGGAGCCGAAGCCCGGGATCCGCGTCGGGACTCCGGACGCCCTGGTCCTGGACGTGCTGGGCCAGCGGCGCCCGCCCCCCGCCCGGAGGCAAGTCTTCTGCTCGGTGTTCTGCGTGGAGAACGTCCTGCCCCCGGACCCCACGGCCGAGCCGCTCTCGCCGCCCGCCTCGCCGCCTCGGGCCCCGCCGGTGATGGACGCTCCCGGCACCCCCTCCTCCTTCCCTAGCCCCCGGCTGTCCCTCCCCACGGACCGCCTGCCCCCCGATGGCGGCAGCATCGAGCTGGAGTTCTACCTGGCGCCCGAACCTTTCTCCGCGCCCAGCCTGTTGGGAGCTCCACCCTACTCTGGCCTGGGTGGGGTCGGGGATCCCTATGCGCCCCTCATGGTGCTGATGTGCCGGGTGTGCCTGGAAGACAAGCCGATCAAGCCCTTGCCCTGCTGCAAGAAGGCCGTGTGTGAGGAGTGCCTCAAAGTCTACCTGAGCTCCCAGGTAACTGCGCCCCGTCCCCTGCCCCGCGCCCCGCCAGCATCCCCAGTCACTGGCCACCAAGGCCCCGCGCCCGCGCCCTGCTCGCCGGCAGAGGTGTTCCACACCCTTCCCGGGAGCCTCTGACAGTTTCTTGCAAGTCAGTGGCTGAAATGTAATTGTTCCAGTGTGTGTGTTTTCCTCACTGGTTAACCTGACTGGAGCTTCACTCTGCTCTGAGCTTCAGGCATTGGTTGGCAGCCGCGGAAGGAACAGGGCACAGGGAATTGCCCTCTGCTTTGTTTCTCTTACTAGATTGCAAGCAAGAGCCTGCTCATAGAGGAGGGCAACGAGAATGCCCCTCGGGCCTCGGGTGGCAGAGAGGAACACATTGAGAGCATAAAATCAGTATGGATGGACTCGGTGAACAGAAGGGTCCATGATAGTCTGATTTTAAAAAGTAGCAAATAATGCAGTGTAAACAGAGTAACAATACCAGGTAGTGCTTCCTGTTAAAATGTGCTCCCATTTATCTATTTCAGAAGGGCAGTTTGCTTATTCCTTGGCCCTTGCCCATTTTTTTCAGTTTTTCTTTTTCCACAGTCAAGTTGAAGTACTTTTCCTCATTGAACTCTCCAGCACAGTACTTTATTTATTTAAGAGGGAACAACACAGAAAGGGCAAAGCAAAGCTAAGAGGTTTAACAAAACAAGTGCTGATGAAACTTTCTTCCTTTGCTCCTTATTTGAAAGCTTGGTGTTTTTTTTGTTGGAAAGATTAGGAGGGCAACAGACCTGTTTTCCTTCACGGGTGCTGAATGCATTCTTCCAGCAGTTTTCAATGTTATGTTTCTGCCAGTGTCTTTTGCACAATCTGGAATGCCCTTTGATCTCTGTCTGACTGTCCTAGGCCTATTCATCTTTCAAGCCCTGGCTGTTCAGGTGCCAACTTTTCTGTGTAGCCTTCCCTGGCCCTGCAAGCCACTGTTTATATACTTTCATAATACTGCTGTGTGTTTTACATCCACTGAAGTTACTCCTTATGTGTTGGTTTGTCTTGCTAGACGGTATGGACAGTGACTTACATTCCTTGTATCTGGTAGTTTCTTGTTGAGTCCCTTTCCTTTAATAGTGTTTAATAACATTGACCGAAGCGAACTGAACAGGATTTCACACTGCGCGGTGTGGCTCCTTTGTGTTTTGTGGCTAATCTCTGCTGTGTCTAGACGGAAAGTGTGTTCTGTGCCCAACTGAAAATGCAAAGGGAAATGCAGACAGAATGGAATGTTACACAAACAGTAACTTGCCCAAGATTGTTGAGATTATCCAAATGTCTGTAAGAGACTATGGTGTTTCGTTCATGGTTTATCCACAAACAGATACTTAAAACAGGAGGATGTCTGCTGCTCATTGTGGTAGTTTCTATGACATCACCGTCAAACAGAATTAAGCTGTCAAACAAATATTTGTGCCATCCATGTGCAGTCATGTGATGGGATTCAGACATTTCCAATATATGGGCCCTGCTCCAGGGAAGTCACTGTGAGAGCAGATGTGTACACAACAATCCAAAGTAGCAAATAATGAGATGTAAACAGAGTGACAATACCAGGCAGTGTTTAATGATAAACGCTGGATACAGATACCGTGGGTTACAAGTTCAAGAGGGGTAGTCACTGCGGTCTGGCTTCTCTGCATTGCAGTGTGATTGATTCCCTTCATTAAGATGGGCCTTTCCCCCAGAGCAGGTTTATTTTATTTCATTTTACTTCTGTGAGTTAGTTTTAGGAAGTCAATGTTTTGATCTCTAGAGGAGAAGAAATGGGAGTGGGAGGGGCAAGGTGAAGTGTCATTGCAATAGCCAACCACTAAAAACTCTTCTGAGGTGTCATAGTGTCTGAAGGTTGTTTGCAGCACTTACGATTGCATGCGTGTTCCTGACCTTCTTCCAAAGTATTTGACGGAACTTTCAATGAAGAAAAAATGTGTTGTTTAAAATAATAAGCAACAACGAAAAGATGCCTCATGCAGGCCAAGCATGCTCCCACCTCAGGACTGCTGCTGCACTTGTTCCTAGGGCCTGCAATAGCTTTGATGCTGGCTTACTCCTCCCCCTTCTCCCTTCCAGGTCTGGATGCAAACAGATGTCACCCTTATGGCTTCACTAACCATTCTTTTCAAAGATGAACCGCACCCCACAACCCTGATCTCTTTTCCTGCTTATTTTGTCCATAACACTAACATGCTGTAACTTATATTTCTGTAATTAATTTCCACAAAGACAGGAGTGTTCTCATGATTTGTTTACTACTGTCTCTTTAGCACCTAGGACACAGTATGGCATATAACAGATGCTCAACTAATAGTGACTGAGTTTGTGAAAAGCTGAGTGACAAAGAACGGATGAGATAACTCCCAGAAACCACGGCTAGGAAGTGGTGTTCTGCTTGGGCACTAAATTCTCTCTGAGCTTCTTGATGTTTAAGACAAAAGACAAAGACTTAATGGTTTTAATACAGAAGACAGATAAAACTGATAGGTTTGCTAACTTTGTTATTAAACTTAGAACTGAAGAGTTTTTTGGCAAACTTTTAGCTTGTAAAAAAATGACATTATTTTTAATTGGATAAAAATGTGGGCTTGGAATTGTAACTAAGTTCCCCTCTATTCAGAGGGTCTGTGTTTCTGTGTCATTTAACCTCTCTGTGTCTTCATTTCCTCATCAGTGAAGTGACATTGCAGATCATGATCTGTAATGGCACACTAGTTCTAAAGCAAAACAAAATCCAACCGCAGGTTTGTTTTGTTGCCTTACTAAACTGGATCAAAAGGGCCTAGTTAGTGCTTCTTTTCTCGTTTTATAAGGTGTCTTGGGTTTGACAGGAGCAAATCTGTCAAGCCTGAACTTGCAGCATTCTTAAGACCTTTTAAAATAAAATGATACAGCTCGGCCGCGGTGGCTCAGGGGCTGAGCATTGACCTATGAACTAGGACAGTGATGGCGAACCTATGACACGCGTGTCAGAGGTGACATGCGAACTCATTTTTTGGTTGATTTTTCTTTGTTAAATGGCATTTAAATATATAAAATAAATATCAAAAATATAAATCTTTGTTTTACTATGGTTGCAAATATCAAAAAATTTCTATAAGTGACACGGCACCAGAGTTAAGTTAGGGTTTTTCAAAATGCTGACACGCCGAGCTCAAAAGGTTCGCCGTCACTGAACTAGGAGGTCATTGTTCGATTCCTGGTCAGGGCACATGCCTGGGTTGTGGGCTCGATCCCCAGTGTGGGGAGTATGCAGGAGGCAGCACGATCAATGATTCTCTCTCATCATTGATGTTTCTATCTCTCCTCCCTTCCTCTCTGAAATCAATGTGTGTGTGTATATGTATATGTACATATATATATATATATATATATATATATATGTATTTAGATGATATATTTCAAATAAAATGTTATTAGTGATTTTGTCACCATTTTCCGAGTCTGTGCCAAATAGGGCAGTATTTAACATCACTTAAAGCTGATCCCTATTAAGCATTATGTACAAACATTAAAAATGTACCCTAAATGTGACTTGGACTATCACCTGGTTAAATTAACTTTCTCTTAAAAGGAGATGCTGCATTCTTTGAAAGAAGGTATGGATGTGGTTATGGAAGATGGGAATACAGATTTCTACATGAGTCTTATTTCCATTTGAGCCATGGACTGAATATGTGGTAAAGGTCAATGGGTAACTCATCATTATTTCAGTACAGACATAACAAATTAGTCAGTGACAAATATCTCCATACTGTGGTTTAAAAATAATAGTTTTGTTTTTCAAAACATAATTCTTCTCCAGGTATTGCTGTGACTTGAGGCTATGGGGAACCCTTCTTAATGGAATGACTTTTTTTTTAAATCATCACCCAAGGATATTTTTTCCACTGATTTTTAGAGAGTGGAAGGGAGAGGGAGAGACAGAGAGAGACACATTGATTGGTTACCTCCCATATGCCCCAACCAGGGCTAGGAGCCTGCAACTGAGGTATGTGCTCTTGATCGGAATCAAACTCGGGACCCTTCAGTCCACAGGCTAACGCTCTGTCCACTGAGCCAAACTGGCTAAGGCAGCCGTGAGCAAACTACGGCCCGCTTGAAATGAATAAAACTAAAAAAAAAAAAAGACCGTACCCTTTTATGTAATGATGTTTACTTTGAATTTATATTAGTTCACACAAACCCTCCATCCATGCTTTTGTTCCGGCCCTCCGGTCCAGTTTAAGAACCCATTGTGGCCCTCGAGTCAAAAAGTTTGCCCACCCCTGGGCTAGGGCAATGGGATGACTTTTCAGTGTAGTAGGTACCATCTAGTTTCCAATTGCCATGGTGAAGGGTTGAACTGATTAATTTAGTCTTTGGCTATACATAGGTATTGACTTAGAGGCTGTAGAGCACCATGATAGAGATACAGTGGGAGTTATATTGGTTCATATTGCCTGGGTACATGACGCTTTGGTACATAAAATTTAGAAGTGCGTTTCCAGGTGACCTGCCTGTGCAGCAATGACTATGGCGGGAGCACACAGTCCCAGGCATGTCTGTGGTCTCCTACAGGTCACTGAGCCATGAGAAACGTTGACTTTCTCAGCTGGTATGGCTTTTACCACATATTCCTAGGAGGAAAAGTTGTTGCTTTCTTTGTTGTATGCAATGATGTGAAATGAATTGGTTTTATTTCAGAAATCCTCCACAGATCTCTTTCCTTTATGATTTTCGTTTTAGACGGTAAAATCTGTTGTAATATGAAGCATTAATATTTAGCACTTTAGATAAAGACAGGAGAGGACTGGGCAGGCTCAGGGCTGTCTCAAGGTGGCAGCTGTTGTGGCTTTCATCACTCCGCTTCACAGTGGTCGCAGTTGGCAGATGCACAGGAGTTGGAATGCATACACCTGTCAAGTGAGTATTAATAGAGACACGCAGAACATTTCTTCTACAGATTTTGAACCAAACAGCTGCGAGATGGC